CCTAAGAGACGTGGTAACAGTGGACTATGAGCTATTTCTCCAGGCCCTGAGAGCTCTCAGCAAAGAAGCATGGGGATCAGAGAGCAGTTCCCAAACCTCATTCAGTCAGCTCTCCTTGGAAATAATACCCGCTTCTCTGATTAAGGCCAGGACTTTAGGCTTGTGTGCTGTGAGGCTTGTACCCAAAGAGTTAGAATAGTCCAGAAAGCACACAAATCACAAAATCATGGATGACTTGCTGTTCTAGTTCTGCTTCTAATGTACCTCTTGAAGTACAAAGGCCAAGCGAGGTCAGGGTAGTTAAGAAGCGCTGTAACATAACATCTACATCTAGAGTAATAAGCAATAGAGCATGGCTCCACGCACCTGACAAGAGCAAGAAGCAATAAAAACAGACCTGTTAAGATCAGTTGGCAATTTTAGAACAAATAAGCAAAAAGGAAGTTTAGGAGATAATTAAGGGAATTAAAGATTGTTTTATCTTAGCAGCCAATGTTAGAAATAATCGTAATGGGCTTTTCCAGTGTATTTACACTAGGGACTATGCAAACAGTGATGATACAACCAAATCAAATGTGATTGCAGGAAAAGAGTGGAGTTTATGACACCGAATCGTTTTTTCTTACAGTTAGCCCTCAGAAGCACCTAAATAATTAGTCATCGAATTAAGACCTTTTTTTTTTTTTTTAAACCATGATAACCAGCTCTTCAGTGTATATGCTTCACTGCTAAAGCTATTCACAAGTGGCAAGACTGGTTTCCTCTGCTGGTTAGAACAACCAGTGTACATGCATTAGGAGAGAAAAACAGCAAAGAAATGCATATCCTCAAGCTGAATAACCTCCTCACAAAGGAGAAGCAAATGTGGTGTAATCTGACTGGATATTGAGTCAAGCTCGAATGGTAAAATGGCATGGTAGGTAAGCGCTCAGGCTCCGCAACCAGACTCTGTGGGGTTAAAATCCTTGTTCCATCATCGATCAGGTGTTTGACCTACAGCAGATTACTTAACCCCTTTAGGCTTTAGTTTCCTCATCTGTAGAATGGGGGCAGTGGTGTCGTGAGAATTCACGAAATGCTACATGCTGAGCGCTCGGCGTAGTGTTGGCATGTGCAGTAGATGCCGTCTATTATTAAAATAGTTCAAAATAAATCGTAAAAATGAGAAATAGGATTCCATACAATGGTATCAATAAAGAAGTCTTTAAATGGCTTACAAACCAGAATAGAGATTTCTTTCCAGGCGAAGAAGACATTTTCAAGGGGAGAGAAAATTTTAGAGCAGAAAACTTTCTGTGCATAGCTTCTTTTTTTCCACATTCTATATGTAACATCTGTTTATTGAGAATGTATATGGGCTAGAAGTTGGTGATTTTATAGATGGAGGAGACATAATCCTTGCCCTCATGGAGCTCACCAGCATATTACATCTAATTTATTTTGTTATCACTTATTTACTATTCACTATATACCAACCTATGCTAAGCCCTTTTAAAACATTTTCTTTTTTCCTTTTTCCCCCAATTTTACTGAGAAATAATTGGCATACGTCACTGTATAAGTTTAAGGCATACAACATGATGGTTCCACTTACATATACTGTGAAATGATCAGCACGGTAGGTTCAGCTAGCATCTATCTTCTCGTATATGTGCATCGCTTTTGTATTAAGCAAAGATTTTGTAGCTTCTTAGATGATCTTTTTTTGTGTGTGGGTTTTTTTGTTTTTTTTTTTTTTTTTGTAGTTCTTTGATGCCAGGGAGGTAAGATTAGGGAACCCTAGGAGGTAAGTGGCTTCAAATAGCTGTGAAGGTCTTGAAGGGAAGTTTTAGGTATTAACTCTCTGGTATTTCCTCAGGAGGCATGCTTACAACATCACTGACAAAAGATTTTTTTTTAATTATTTTTTAATGAGGAAGTTCTTTTTTTTTTTCTTTAATGAGGAAGTTCTTGTTTGAATAATTTGTTGGGGTGCAGTCATACATCTTTGACAATAATAATCATTGAAATATGACAGTCTTAACTTTGACAATTAAATCCGTTAAGCTAAAAATACTATGATAAAAGTCATGACATTTCCATGTTCTCATATAACTTTCCTCGGTGCTATATCTGAATTACAGTATTAATTTTGAAGTTCCTATTTCCAGGTTTATTTCATTTTATTTTCTAAAGATTTTATTTATTTTGAGAGAGAGAGAGAGAATGCATGTGTGCACGGGGGGTGGGGGCAGAGGGAGAGAGAGAGAATCTCAAGCAGATTCCCTGCTGAGAGTGGAGCCTGACTCAGGGCCCAGTCTCAACCCTGACATCATGACCTGAGCAACAGTCAAGAGTCAGACGCTTAACCAACTGAGCCACCCAGGCACCCCTCCAGGTTAATTTTAAAAGGAAGAAGTACTGTGCTTGTAAAAGCTCATGTCACTGCAGTAATTATATCTTCTCTCTATACCAACAAGCAAAATCCACAGGGTGACTTACTAACAGAGTACAGGTAAAC